AATGAAAAAGTAACATAAAGTATACAGTAAAAACAATAAACTGTTTGAGTACTTTATGCACTCATAGCAAAAAAAATTTCACTAGACCAACACAACTGCAATTGGACTTCTCACAGAGTGCCTAGTAGAAGTCCATTTCAAGAATCCCTCAACAAGCACAACTTCTGAACTGCTGGTTGTCTTGGAAAATGTCACTTGGTATGTTAACTTCTGGTTCAACTCGGAGAAATTTAGCTCTGTGGGTACAACTTCTACGGCAACTCCTATAGGTGAAGCTATCTCTACTTTGTAAGATGATGCAACATCACCAACGTTGGTCACAGTTCTTGTATATGTCTGAGGAGTTGATCCAAGTCCAAATATGGAAAACGAAGGATAGTTTAATTGTGCTTCAGGGATACTTTTCACTTCCAAGCAATTCACCGTGCGTCGTAACAGGCTACCTACCTGTGCATCTGTGTATCCCAAACCACATAAATAAGGTAAATAGTCCTCGGAGGGGGTATCATAAACTAGTCCTGGATCATTTGCCCTTGATGGATTAACGTGTCCTGCACCAATTGCAAAGATGTCTGCAGGAAGTAACCTTTCATCTAGTATTGGACTACTGTCAAGGTTTAACGTGTCAGCGGTTGTCATGATTGCAGACTTAATAGCAGCAGGAGACCAATCAGGATGTGTGCTCTTCAGCAGAGCTGCTACGCCACTGAGGTGAGGGCAAGACATCGAGGTGCCTGATATAATATTGAATGTGGATTTGGTGTTTTTGTTGTCATCCACGGAGGTAGGCCAAGCAGCAAGGATATTAACACCAGGACCAATTATGTCAGGCTTCAAGATCCCAGGATTAGGTTTACTTGGTCCGCGAGAAGAAAATGCAGCAACTATGGGAGCATTTTTATCTCCAATTATTGTTCCTTGCATAGTGATTGTAGCAATAGGGTTTGATATTGAGTTTGTATAATCAAGAATTTTGATTCCATCTGCAGCTGAAACAACCAATGCTGGAAGAACATGAGCATCAGCTGATTTTGTGACACCATAATATGCCGGGTTGATGACAATCATGGCAACACCTCCAGCATCCTTCACAGCTTGTCCTTTTTCAATATTTGAAGCTACACCTGCCGAACATATGACAATCTTTCCTTTTATTGCAGGGTCAGTGAGAGACCCTGGTTTGCAATAAGGGGTTTCAGATGGATCACCTATACTCTTTGCAGCATCATATAGAGTGAAGTATGTTGAGTCGGAAATCTGTGGACGATAAGCAGATTCCCCTTCAAATTCCTCTTTATTTCCAAGTGTAACAGTAGCTTTTATCTTTCTATCAATAGTGCTGGCGCCTACCGTAAGAATCCAAGGGGCTGTGTTTCCTGCTGAGAAACTGGATGAACCACTATTTCCAGCAGAGCAACTTACAAGAATCCCTCTTTCTGTTGCACCGTACGCCCCGAAAGCAATACTGTCTTCATAGAAAGGAACTGGACTTCCACCAAGGGACATTGAAAGAATATCTACTCCATCATCTATAGCTGAATCCATGGCAGCTAAAATATCACTGTCAGAACAACCATCAGAATTACACACCTTATATATGGCTAGGTGGGCAAGAGGGGCAACACCAACAGCAGTCCCATTAGCATTCCCAAATACATTAGCACCTTCTACAAAGGCTCCTGCAGTTGTGCTTGCTGTGTGTGTACCATGTCCATCATTATCTATTGGGGAACCATTGGCAAGTTGGTAAGACCTCGCTCCAATGAGCTTGTTGTTACACTTGGTCGCGAAATCGGACTCGCAAACTCCTTTCCATTTAGCAGGGATAGGTGGCATCCCGACATCGCTAAATGAGGGGTGGTCTGGGAAAATTCCCGAGTCAATAACTCCAATAATCACACCTTTCCCATAATTCGAGTCTTTCCAGAACCCCATGTTCTGTTGCAACCCCATGAAATTGACACTATGTGTGGTGTGTAATTTAAGTAGCTGCTGGGGGCGTGCAGAAACAAATCCTTCCATTTTTTCCATTTCCTTTATATCTTCTGGTGATAACTTAGCTGCAAAGCCCGTTAGGACATTTCGATAGGAATATATCAAACGTGGTGCCTCACGAGAACTATCGGAGGTTGTTGCAGGCAAGAAAGAAAGATACCAGCTTTCTAAATCTTGGTATTTGGCAGTTCTTTCCCCACCAGGGAACTCACAATGAACAATATAGATTTGTGAATTGTTCTGTTTTGTTGCATTAGTTGTAAATGAAAAGAGCACACAAATCAGCCCAATTATAGTAAGAATTGAACTGTATTGAGCCATCATAACTTTAGTACTAAAGAAAGAGATATTATTTGGTGGTGTGCTTTTTGAATTTTGATTGTGGGTATATATACACATTGGTAGTATATTTTTTATTTGCAAGTCAGAAGTTAGTTTTAGAAATGTGAAATAGTCACATCTGGAGATTCTTGGATTAAATAGAAAATAGATAGTGAAATGGTCATCTATACGCTAAAACGATTTTATTCTAATTAACTTCTATTTGCTAATGAAGTTGGCAAAGCAACATCATATAGATGAGGTCATCAATCTACAATATACTTTTTAAGTAATGTTCGAGTCAACTTGAACACGCCTTAACTAATACATGAGGTGTCTTGTTCATCTCACAAGTACTCACTCCGTCCCAAAATAAGTGTGATGTTAGGAATTCAAGACAAAATAGTATGGCTATTCAACTATACCTTTATACTCCATCTTCTTAATAGTGTTCAATTTTTAAGATATGTTTATAAAATAAGGGTAGTTTAGTGAACGACCGATTGTGTTTATTGATTTCTTAATGAACGTGATTTTTGCTAAGGTGACACGTATTTTGGGATAAGGGAGTACATGTAACCAAAGCAATTGTGCTCGTAAGGGTTAGTGCAAACGGGCTCACAGACCTAGTGTAGTAGCTGAATTTTTAACCTGAAATCTCCGGATGGTTACTCCGATGGGCGATGGCTCGATTATTTTATCATCTCCTTGGGGACCGAAATAAGTCTAGAAATATACCTAATCACTTGAGAGCTAAAGATCGGGTGCGGCCTGAGCGTTGCTGAGCTGAGTTGACTAGATCTCAATAGCCACATGCTACCTTCTGATACAGTGCCACAATCGGATTTTGACCTAGTATCAAATATATATATTATATTTATATATCATATCATATATTATTATAAGTGGGAACAAAAAAAGTTAAAAGTTGAATTAAGATTTTACCCCTATTATAAATTAAAATATTATAAAACATTTAATTATTTAATTTAAATATTAAATTGTATCATTTTAATTAATATGTTAATGACTTTTGCACTTCCTTAGATTAATTCCTAATTAAAATATCTAATTTAATACATATTTATCATCTATAATTTATATGTATATAATAATAATAATAATAATAATAATAATAATAATCCAAAAATCTCTTCATAAAATGTATAATTAATTAAATATTAAATTATTAAACAATAAACTGACCGTAGTATACTAATTAATACTAATGATATTATCATCATATGAAAAGACAATGTTTTCATTGTAATTACTACCGGTTTAAAACTGAAAGAAGAGGAAGGGTTGATATTAATTTATTCATTCATATGATAATATCATTCATTTTTGGTCTTTTCAAATTCCTTGGATTAATGGTGAAAAAATATTCTCTTTATAGAATTTATATAAAAAGGCCTAAGTTCGTGACATTACTATTAATGTTATATATTCATAGATGATTCACACTTGACTTTAGCCTTTTTCATATTTTTTGTAAGTTGTGCACTATATATTTTTTTCCCATGATGCAATCATTGCTCTTTTGATTTGGTTTACTTGGTCAGCCAGCAACATTTGGAGCATATAGGTAAGGATCATACTTCATTTATCCAGAGATAGTATGAAAAATATTTATGTCACTACTTTTATTTATTGATTTGGATGAACATAATTCAAAAATTTTCATTGCTGTTTTTTTTGCTTACTCGACGAAAATATTAAAATTCAGTGGCTATGATCTTTTGAATTACTATAAGTTGCATCTACTAGCTTTAAGTTATAATTTATTATACAGTCTACCTACTAACTATATTTAGATGCTCAAATTTATAGGTTTGGACAATCATTTTCCATATATGCAATAATCAAGTCATTCAAATAGGTCCATTGTCAATCAATTTCAACTTGCACTTTAAATGGCTATACTAAATTCTACAAATATTTATAACACCTTAAATCTCTTCAATCACCCCACATTTGTTGTATTATTTCAACCATATCAAATTATATATATGCTCTTAAATTTGACAATTTAAGGTTGAGTGAGTTCAAGGCACAAGAAGTGTACTTTGAACTATAGAATAGAAGACGTTGGCAAAAGATGACATGAAGATGGTTTATTTCCGATATTATATTACACTGCATAAGACACAATTTTCACTAATTTCTATTTTTTTTTGCAGGAATTACCTCAACAAGTCAATAACGTTCTATAGGTTTTAACCTTTGGTCAGTAATATCCCTATTTGAAGTGAGAAGATAGAACACTGCTGTAACGTCCGGCAATGTGAAATTTTTTTTGAAGAGGCTTAGAATTGGAAATTTTCATTTTTGGAAAGTAGGGAAGTCATTTTCCTTGTTTTGAGAGAAGGTTGGTTAATAAATGAGTAATTCATTAAGATTTTGTACTTGAGTAAATTAACTTGAATTGATTAGATGAATGTAGACATTTTTAGAGTTAATACGACAATAAGCAGTGTTTGAAGATGAAAGCAACTCCAAAACATTGAATAGATATAGTACTAAAGGAAATGAGATCTAAGCCTAAGTGTCCGATATCATGTCATCCGTTTATCATGAGTTGATTCATTTGTATTTATTAGAATGTATATTGAACATGGTTTTATTGCAAAAGAAAAATCTCGATGAGTGTGTCACTGAGATCAGATTCTTCATTTATTTCTTCAAAAAAGGAAAAATCGAACAGCAATTGGGCTCCTAACAATGTGTTTTTCAGAAATCCATCTGAGAGATCCCTGATTAAAAGTAGTGTTCGGTATGGTATCCAGAGGTGTAAATGTCACTTGATAGCTCAATGCTTGTTTCACCTCTGAAAAAACAAGTGTAGTTGGTTCAACTTTCACATCAAGACCTGGCGGTGAATCAATTTCAACTCTGTATGTTGAGTTGGCTTGTCCAACATTCATCACAGTTCTTGAATATACTTGAGCTGCTGAGTTGACTCTGACTTGGATCGAAAACGATGGATAATTTAGTTGACCATCTGAGATGCTAGTAACCTCTGAACAATTCACTTTGCCCGGAAAAAAGAATCCAACTTGTGTGTCTGTGTAATTTAGACCACATAAATAAGGTAAGTAAACGGCTGGCTCTATGTCATATATCAGGCCTGGATCATTTGCTTTTGACGGATTAACATGGCCTGCACCAGTGGCAAAAACATTGGCCGGACGGTATGTTTCATCCTCGATTAAGTTGGATCCGAGGTTTAAGACATCGGCTGTTGTCATAATTGCTGACTTAATTGCAGCTGGAGACCAATCAGGGTGAACACTTTTTAGTAGTGCTGCAACGCCACTGAGGTGAGGACAAGACATTGAGGTGCCTGAGATCATGTTGAATCTCGAGTTGGTGTTTGTGTTGTTATCCAAGGAAATATGCCAAGCTGCTAGAATGTTAACGCCAGGACCAATAATGTCTGGTTTTAGAATTCCAGGACTTGCATAACTTGGACCCCTGGATGAAAATCCAGCAACCACTGGAGCACGATCATCTCCGATTATAGTTCCCTTGAACACAATTGTGGCTGTAGGGGTTGGTGTTGAGTCTATGTACTCTTTGATTTTTAGACCATCAGCATAGCCAACATATGTCGTTGGGAGGACATATGCCTCGACCAATGTTGTGTTAGCCATGGCTTCTCGGTTCATAAATATCATGGCAGCACCACCAGCTGCCTTCACTGCTATACCTTTATCAGCTCGCGTTATTTTACCAGCCTCACACAACACAATCTTTCCCATGACATTCGTGTTGTTCAGGGAAGCAGGGGTACAATATTTAGCATCAGAATCACTAGAATTGCTTCCAGGATAGGCAAGAGGCAATAGTGTAGGAGGAAAGTCATTAGGTTGCAAAGCTGATTCTCCGTCGAATTCTTGATTGTTACCAAGCACAACAGTGGCCTTTATTTTTCTGTCGATAGTGCTTGCACCAACTGTGAGAACCCAGGGCGCTTCATTAGACAATGAAAAACTGTATGGTCCTGAATTTCCACCAGAACAGCTGACGAAGATTCCCTTTTTGATAGCACTAAGTGCACCAAGTGCAATTGGGTTTCTATGGAAAGCATTAGATAGACTACCAAGGGAAATTGAAAGAATATCCACACCATCTTCAATAGCCATATCCATTGCAGCCAAAATGTCGCTCCCAAAACAACCGAAAGCAGAGCACGCTTTGTAAACGGCAACATGAGCAAGAGGTGCAACACCCACAGCTGTGCCATTTGCATTGCCAAAAATGTTAGCACCTGGAACGAAACTTCCAGCAGCCGTGCTAGCAGTATGTGTACCATGTCCATTTTCATCCCATGGATCAATCCCCGAGTTCGGGAAGAATCTGGCTCCAATGAGCTTGTTGTTACACTTTGTGACATTAAATTCACACTTACCCTTCCATTTAGCAGGGGGAGGTGGCATCCCATCATCGCTAAACGAAGGGTGGTCCGGGAAAATTCCCCCGTCAATAACTCCAATAATCACACCTTTCCCATAATTCGAGTCATTCCAGAACCCCATGTTCTGTTGCAACCCCATGAAATTGACACTATGTGTGGTGTGTAAATTAAGTATCTCGTCGGGGCGTGCAGAAACAAATCCTTCCATTTTCTCCATTTCCTTAATATCCTCTGGTGATAACTTAGCTGCAAAACCTGTTAGGACATTTCGATAGGAATATATCAAACGTGGTGCCTCACGAGAACTATCTGAGGTTGTTGCAGGCAAGAAAGAAAGATACCAGCTTTCTAAATCTTGATATCTGGTTGACATTTCCCCATCAGGGAACTGACAATGAACAATATAGATTTGTGAATTGTTCTGTTTTGTTGCATTAGTGGTAAATGAAAAGAGCACACAAATCAGCACAATTATAATGAGAATTGAACTGTATTGAGCCATCATAACTTTAGTACTAGTGAAAGAGCTGTTATTTTGTGAGTGTTTTTCGAATTTTGATTGAGGGAATATATACTTATTGGAAGTATATTTTTTTATTTGCAAGTCAGAAGCTAGTTTTAGAAATGTGAAATAGTCATATCTGGAGATTCTTGGATTTAATAGAAAATAGAAAGTAAATTGGTCATCTGTACGCTAAAACGATTTTATTCTAATTAACTTCTATTTGCTAATGAAGTTGGCATAGCAACATCACATAGATGAAGTCATTAATCGACAATATACTTAAGTAATGTTCGAGTCAACTTGAACACACCTTAACTGAGCTGACTAGTTCACCTCACAAGTACTCCCTCTGTCCCAAAATAGGTGTTATCTTAGGAAATCCAAAACAAAAATTAGTATGACTTTTTAACTATACCTTTATATTCCATTTTCTTTTTAGTGTTCAATTTACAAGAGACGTTCATAAAATAAGGGTAGTTTACTAAACTACAGATTGTGTGTATTGATATCTTAATGAACGTGACCGTGTGCAGCCTGAACATTGATGAGATGGAGTTGACTAAATCTCAATTGCCACATGCTACCTTCTGATACAATGCCACAATCGGATTTTGACCTAGTATCCTATGGAATTAGTTGAGGTGCGACAAGTTAACCAAAACACCACAAATATAAATTAAAAAGAAAGTACTATGTTACTTAACAATAATGTCATTAGCTTAATTTTCCCCCAAATTTGAAAAATACATGTACATTCCCCTATATAATCCCTCTAAACTAATGCTGAGATTGTGAAAGGGAATTACAATAAAGTTTAAAGAATCCCAACTGGCCTGATGTTAATTACTTCTATTATAAAATATGATAACTTCTAAGTTTTATAAGTTTTGAGCTTTGTCAATATTGACAAAATCAAGCATTAACACTTAATCTGACCTTTTGTTTTTAATGAGAAAAAAACATGTGTGGTGCCTCCTTAACCCCAGATCGTTGAATCCTTGAACTAGTTTCATGCTTGTCAAAATTAACCCTTGAACTATGCAAAATAGATTATTTATACACTCCGTTACATTTTGAGATAAAAAAAATCTCTCCACCATTATCTCAAGAGACTACAAATATCCTCTTGAGGTAACAATCCAAATTTTTAGTGACGTGAGACTAATCCCTCCACCTAACCGTGGCCAACTAGGATCATTACAAGAAATTAGTTCTTTAGCGTCGACAAAGTCGCCACAAATATCCAAAATATCGCCACTAAAGATTTTCAGTGATTATGTGAAAACCAAAAGTCGCCGCTAAAGGTCTAGTTTCTTGTAGTGAATCTTAATTGACAAAGCTTAATTAAGGGGAGGAATTACTTCCACGTGGCTTGCCATATGTCAGGGACAATTTTGACCCTTTTCCGAAATTTAAATAAACATTATATTATAAATCATAATTTTAAAAGGGTAATGAATTCAATGTTAAAGAACTCTAAAATTTGAATTCATTAAGTTAAATTTTTGGATTCACGTTTGGGTGACAGTATCATCTATCTAGTGTACATTATTCATATTCTCAAAAAGTGACAACCTCATCTGCAACTATAAATTTACAAAGCATGAGAAAGAGACCTTACACCAGACCTCTTCAAATAGGATAATCAAGATGAAGACACTTCCAAATTATTTTTAAAATCGCTATATGCATCATTCTTTTTCACTAATTTATTGAATACTTAATAATTTTAGTGTCCCCTGAGAATATTCACAATTAGAGGGTTGAAGAAACATAATTATGTCATATCACACTATTATAATGTTCTAAATTTACAATTGAAATTTCAGGACGAATTTTACGAATGAAATTTGAAAGTTGGTGACAATAGCTATTTTTCTTGGGAATGGTATCAGGTTTTCTCAACTCTTATGCTTGCTTTGTAAACAGCATATATGATTGGATATAACAGGCATTTTTGAACTCTCTTCTTAAAAAAATGAAATATATAAAAAGTAAAAGAAACGATCAATGAAAAACTGACATTTATCAAAGAGGATATATGCTTTTATATTCTTCAATCAGATGTGAACAAACAGCGAAACACTTTATTAATAATGAAAAAGTAACATAAAGTATACAGTAAAAACAATAAACTGTTTGAGTACTTTATGCACTCATAGCAAAAAAAATTTCACTAGACCAACACAACTGCAATTGGACTTCTCACAGAGTGCCTAGTAGAAGTCCATTTCAAGAATCCCTCAACAAGCACAACTTCTGAACTGCTGGTTGTCTTGGAAAATGTCACTTGGTATGTTAACTTCTGGTTCAACTCGGAGAAATTTAGCTCTGTGGGTACAACTTCTACGGCAACTCCTATAGGTGAAGCTATCTCTACTTTGTAAGATGATGCAACATCACCAACGTTGGTCACAGTTCTTGTATATGTCTGAGGAGTTGATCCAAGTCCAAATATGGAAAACGAAGGATAGTTTAATTGTGCTTCAGGGATACTTTTCACTTCCAAGCAATTCACCGTGCGTCGTAACAGGCTACCTACCTGTGCATCTGTGTATCCCAAACCACATAAATAAGGTAAATAGTCCTCGGAGGGGGTATCATAAACTAGTCCTGGATCATTTGCCCTTGATGGATTAACGTGTCCTGCACCAATTGCAAAGATGTCTGCAGGAAGTAACCTTTCATCTAGTATTGGACTACTGTCAAGGTTTAACGTGTCAGCGGTTGTCATGATTGCAGACTTAATAGCAGCAGGAGACCAATCAGGATGTGTGCTCTTCAGCAGAGCTGCTACGCCACTGAGGTGAGGGCAAGACATCGAGGTGCCTGATATAATATTGAATGTGGATTTGGTGTTTTTGTTGTCATCCACGGAGGTAGGCCAAGCAGCAAGGATATTAACACCAGGACCAATTATGTCAGGCTTCAAGATCCCAGGATTAGGTTTACTTGGTCCGCGAGAAGAAAATGCAGCAACTATGGGAGCATTTTTATCTCCAATTATTGTTCCTTGCATAGTGATTGTAGCAATAGGGTTTGATATTGAGTTTGTATAATCAAGAATTTTGATTCCATCTGCAGCTGAAACAACCAATGCTGGAAGAACATGAGCATCAGCTGATTTTGTGACACCATAATATGCCGGGTTGATGACAATCATGGCAACACCTCCAGCATCCTTCACAGCTTGTCCTTTTTCAATATTTGAAGCTACACCTGCCGAACATATGACAATCTTTCCTTTTATTGCAGGGTCAGTGAGAGACCCTGGTTTGCAATAAGGGGTTTCAGATGGATCACCTATACTCTTTGCAGCATCATATAGAGTGAAGTATGTTGAGTCGGAAATCTGTGGACGATAAGCAGATTCCCCTTCAAATTCCTCTTTATTTCCAAGTGTAACAGTAGCTTTTATCTTTCTATCAATAGTGCTGGCGCCTACCGTAAGAATCCAAGGGGCTGTGTTTCCTGCTGAGAAACTGGATGAACCACTATTTCCAGCAGAGCAACTTACAAGAATCCCTCTTTCTGTTGCACCGTACGCCCCGAAAGCAATACTGTCTTCATAGAAAGGAACTGGACTTCCACCAAGGGACATTGAAAGAATATCTACTCCATCATCTATAGCTGAATCCATGGCAGCTAAAATATCACTGTCAGAACAACCATCAGAATTACACACCTTATATATGGCTAGGTGGGCAAGAGGGGCAACACCAACAGCAGTCCCATTAGCATTCCCAAATACATTAGCACCTTCTACAAAGGCTCCTGCAGTTGTGCTTGCTGTGTGTGTACCATGTCCATCATTATCTATTGGGGAACCATTGGCAAGTTGGTAAGACCTCGCTCCAATGAGCTTGTTGTTACACTTGGTCGCGAAATCGGACTCGCAAACTCCTTTCCATTTAGCAGGGATAGGTGGCATCCCGACATCGCTAAATGAGGGGTGGTCTGGGAAAATTCCCGAGTCAATAACTCCAATAATCACACCTTTCCCATAATTCGAGTCTTTCCAGAACCCCATGTTCTGTTGCAACCCCATGAAATTGACACTATGTGTGGTGTGTAATTTAAGTAGCTGCTGGGGGCGTGCAGAAACAAATCCTTCCATTTTTTCCATTTCCTTTATATCTTCTGGTGATAACTTAGCTGCAAAGCCCGTTAGGACATTTCGATAGGAATATATCAAACGTGGTGCCTCACGAGAACTATCGGAGGTTGTTGCAGGCAAGAAAGAAAGATACCAGCTTTCTAAATCTTGGTATTTGGCAGTTCTTTCCCCACCAGGGAACTCACAATGAACAATATAGATTTGTGAATTGTTCTGTTTTGTTGCATTAGTTGTAAATGAAAAGAGCACACAAATCAGCCCAATTATAGTAAGAATTGAACTGTATTGAGCCATCATAACTTTAGTACTAAAGAAAGAGATATTATTTGGTGGTGTGCTTTTTGAATTTTGATTGTGGGTATATATACACATTGGTAGTATATTTTTTATTTGCAAGTCAGAAGTTAGTTTTAGAAATGTGAAATAGTCACATCTGGAGATTCTTGGATTAAATAGAAAATAGATAGTGAAATGGTCATCTATACGCTAAAACGATTTTATTCTAATTAACTTCTATTTGCTAATGAAGTTGGCAAAGCAACATCATATAGATGAGGTCATCAATCTACAATATACTTTTTAAGTAATGTTCGAGTCAACTTGAACACGCCTTAACTAATACATGAGGTGTCTTGTTCATCTCACAAGTACTCACTCCGTCCCAAAATAAGTGTGATGTTAGGAATTCAAGACAAAATAGTATGGCTATTCAACTATACCTTTATACTCCATCTTCTTAATAGTGTTCAATTTTTAAGATATGTTTATAAAATAAGGGTAGTTTAGTGAACGACCGATTGTGTTTATTGATTTCTTAATGAACGTGATTTTTGCTAAGGTGACACGTATTTTGGGATAAGGGAGTACATGTAACCAAAGC